TGGCCACAATGTAAGGAATAAGGTGAAAGCGGTGTGGGAGGATCGTAGAAGCATAATGGTTCAGGACCTTCTAGACGTGCTCAGTCCACTATGGTGGCCACTAGCCATGTGTGGCTACTGAGCACTTGAAATGTGGCTAGTCCCTGTTGAGATAGTTGTACTGTAAATTTATGTTACAAACAGAAAACAAACCCATTACTCTTGAGTTGATTCTCGTTCATAGTGACCCTAGAGGACAGAGTGGAACTGCCCCCCATAGGGTTTCCAAGGTTGTCATTTTTATGTAGGACAGCTCTGGTGACACAGTGGTTAAGCACTTGGCTGCGAACCGAAAGGTTAGCAGCTCAGACTCACCAGCCACTCTGTGGGAGAAAGATGTGGCAGTCTGCTTCTGTAAAGATTTCCAGCTTTGGAAACCATATGAGACATTCTACTCTGTCCTCTAGGGTCGGCATGAGTAGGAATCTCCATGGGCTATGAACTTTTAATCTTTATGGAAGCAGTGACTAGTGCGTTGCAACCACTAACCCTTTGACTAGCAGTCAAGAGCTTAACCACTGACCCATCACGGCTCCTCCTCAAGTACATATTACACACTGGATTTATAAGATTAGTGTAAAAAAGATGTAATTATCCCATTAATAATTTTATATTGATTATATGTAAAAAATCCACCCCTTGTCTGTCAGTTTATCATACTGTGGTGGGTCTCATGTTGCTGTAATGCTAGAAGCTGTGCCACTGGTATTTCAAATCCCAGCAGGGTCATCCATGGTGGACAGGTTCAGTGGAGCTTCCAGACTAAGACAAACTGGAAAAGACATGACTAGGTCCATTTCTGAAAAAATCTGGCCACTGAAAACCTTATGAATAGCAGGGAAACATTGTCTGATATGTTTGGAAGATGAGCCCATCAGGTTGGAAGGCACTCAAAATATGACTAAGGCAGAGCTTTGTATAGTTGAGTGTCAACTACACAAGTGTCAACTTGGCTGGGCCTGGTTTTGAGTGGCTGGGCAGCTGGATGTAGTTATGCCTCATGATGAGACTGGTATTCAACTCCATGGTGGAATCTACTAGAGGAGCTGAGTAGTTGCCTTACGGATGTGGTCTGCTTCCAGTACATAAGAAGCTTTGAGTATGGTTGCTGCAGCTTTTTGGCACACTTGGACACTGCATGTAGCCAAGTCTTCATTCAGCAGCCTGCCATGTTTCCTGCCAATCTTAGGACTGTCTCTGGACTTGAACTAGTGTCCTGCCGTGTAGTTTGGTAATATTGGGACAGTGCCATTTTTTTTTTGTCGACCTCGGGTTTGTCAGCCTCAGCAGCCAGCAGCTACTTGAGCTAAGAGATGCCTCCAGGTTCAATGGGCCGGGACCAAGATGCAGAGCTGAAGCCCGAGGTTAAGGGGCTTTCACCCGGCCCCTAGAGTTAGTACTTTGAACTTAGACTTCTAGCCTCCTGAACCTTAAGAGAATAAATCCCTGTTTGTTCAAGCCATCCATTTGTGGTATTTTCTGTTAGGGCAGCACAAGAGGTAACCAAAACAAGCTGCCTCCCCAAAGTAGAGGCAACCCTAATGATGGGATGGAGTAAAGCTTTCGGGACCTTTGCTTGCTGATGTGGCAAGTTCTTGTACTGTGGTCATGTTGTCAGAAGGGACCAGTCCCTGGAGCAGAATATCCTGCTAGGTAAAGTAGAGGGTCGGCAAGAAAGAGGAAGACCCTCAATGAGATGGATTGACACAGTGGCTGTGATGAAAGGCTTGTGATTGTGAGGATGGTGCTGGACCCAACAGTGTTTTGTTCTGTTTTATTAGAGTCACTGTAAGTTGAAACTGACTCAATGGTACCTAACAATAACAAATGCTAAAATGATAGTATTTTAGATGTATTGGGTTAAACATTTTTCCTTTTTTAAAAAACTTTAATATGGCTGCTGGAAAATTTCAAGTTACAAAGGTTAACTCACATTATATTTCTGTTAGCACTATTCTAGACTAGGGAGCTCTGGTAGCATAGTGCCTAAGACTTGACTGCTAACCAGAAGGCTGGCGGGTCAAACCCACCAGCCACTCCTCGGAAGGAAGGTTGGGCAATCTACTTCCGTACTGATACTGCCTGGGAAACTCAAGGAGGGGTCACTATGAGTCGGGTCCAACTCGACCCGACTTCAACGGTACATAACAACAACAACATTCTAGACTATGTTAAGGAATTCAGGCTTTATCCTGAAGGAACTGGGAAGTTTTGGGCTTTTCTTAACAGGGAAGTGACATGATCAGATTTGCATTTCAAAAGACTGTGGTAAGGAGACTGGGTGATAGAAAGATGAGAACAGAGGTGGGGAGACCAGTTAGGGAGAAGTTGCAGTGGTTCAGATGGGAGATGGGGGATTGGATGGAGTGGTAGTGAGGGTAGGGAGAACTTTTTAAAAGCTGAATCACTACACCCATTCCTGGGAGAAAGGATAGATTGAAGTATATGAAACTGTCATCTTTGTTAACCAAAAATGGTTGAGTATGGAAAGAGCCAACAAGGGCTGAAGTTGGAACAACCGAGCCACAAAATATGGTGTTGCACTATAACTCAGAGGATGGAAAAAATACCCATGAGTGCATAATGACATAAATAACCAAATAAACAAATGAGGGAGAAGCAACAACTCTTACAGAAATAAATGTAGAAGGAAATGAGGGAACTAGGAAACCACAATTCGCACTTCGCAGTAATGACTGTTATAGGAACATCCCAACAGACACTAAAATGAGTCAACAAAAGTTTATGCAAAAACAGATGATTTGCATAGTCTTAAAGTATCTCCCTCCAAATATTTAATAGTTACAAAGAGAAAATACACTTAGAATGGAGAATTCTAGCACTGAGCCAAGTGAGCAAGGTTAACATCACCTTTAATACACATCGACATCATGTATTCCCTGACATGATGCACTGAGAGGGGCACCCCACTCTGCGGGCTCTTTCCTAACAGTGCGTAACCTCAACTTAACCATGAGGAAACCACAGGTAAGTCCAAACAAACTGAGGGACATTCTACCAAATAAATGCCCAGTACTCTTCAAAAGAAAGGCAAGGGCAGAGTGAGGACTATCAGCGATTGGAGAAAACTACAGAGACAGGGCAACAAGATGCACCAATGAATACACGGTTGATTCCTGGAATAGGAAGAAAAAAAACTAGTGGCCATAGTCGATGCCTGCTCACGGTGACCTCATGGGTGCAGACAACTGCTCCTTAGGGTTTTCAAGGCAGTGACTTCAGAACAGATCACCAGGCTTGTTCCAAGGTGCCTCTGAGTGGATTCAAACCACCCACCTTTTGACCAGTGATCAGTCACGTCTAACCATTTGCACCCCCTATGGACTCCTTCATAGTATTATACTATAAATACATACCGAAAAATCAAACTCACTGACTTCGAGTCGCATCTGACTCATAGCGACCCCTCCTTGGGTTTCTGAAGTGGTATCACTACGGAAGTAGATTGCCCAACCTTCCAGAAATGGCTGGTGGGTTTGAATCCCTAGCTTTGTGGTTAGCAGTCAAATGCCTTAGGCACTATACCACTAGCACTCCCTATAATTACATATATAGGTTATATGTATAATGTATGTACATTTCTTGGTTTTGATAAATGTTCAGTGGTAACATGATCAGTTGGGTGAATGGCATATGGGAATTTTACTGTTTTTGCAACTTTCTCTAAGTAAAAAATAGCTTTAAAAACTTAACTGTTAGGACAGTTGAGTATCAGCAATTTCAGTGTAAAACCAGACAAGAAACTAAAACTGAAGGCCTAAAGCTGCACTAATACCCTGTAAACCTAACATGCTCCAAGTTTTACTTGTTTTGAGGCAACTTTTTCCTTGATCTGATTTACAAGATTCCTACACAGTCTCAGGTACCAACCGAGACCAGGAAGAGCAGAGCAAGGGACGGCACAGTCCCACTGGCTGTCATTACAGGGGGCTGGGCACCAGGACAGCCAACTTCTGCCATCTTCCTCTGTTCCCACTTCTGGAGACTTGCCACCAAGAGGAACTCTCAGGGGGATTAGAATAGTCCAGGTTCCCAATACCCAAGTAGCAGAACAAGGCCATGGGGACAGGTTTCCAAGAGCAGTAGCAGAAGGTGCACGGATAACTGGACACATTGCTCCTACAACTGGTGCCAAGTGAGGAGAAGGCCTTTTCCCAGTGTTTACCAGTGAGCCAGACTCTAGGTCAAGGGTTAAGTTTGAGCACTGTGGAAAATGTTCTTTCATGACAAGGGGATTTCAAAAACTAAAACAGCAATCTACAAAATTATACTCTGTACAACAAGTACCACTTACAGCTCCTAGTTCCTTCTCAAGTGGCTAGCAACTTTTTCTCTTCAGAGATGGGTTACCTTTCATGCAGCTTAGTACCAATGTTGATTGCATTTAAGGCATCACTTAATGATCTGAGTTAATTTAACTTCTAGAGGTGAACAATTTACTCTTTATGTAATAGGTTGGGCTTCTTTTCATCTCCCACAGCAGTCTCATTGGTTGTAATGACTCACTGTGGTGTTCCTTTAACTTAAATGCTGCTTAACAAAACAAGGTATTGCTGAGAGCCAAAACTATGTGTCAACCCTAAATCACCAAAATGCAAAATTACCATTAAAAATTAAAATGTATTGGCTTCTTAGAACTAGCTAGCTCCCACATTATCCTAACAGATATGTAAACATGTTAAAGATACACTCTTGATGGCCTAAATTGGAATAAAACCCTTTTAAAAAAAATAAATAAACCCACTGCTATCAAGTCAATTCTGATTCATAGGGACCCCTATTGGGTTTCCAAGGCAGTAAATCTTTACTGAAGTAGATTGCCCCATCTCCCTCCCACGGAGCTTCCTCCCACCAGAGCCCCTTGAATAAAGCCCAGAGAAATTCACAGTTAAGTCACTGGATAGTACCCGAGGGTTTGAACAAATGCAATTAACCAATAAATATACCAAAGAAAATTTTTTTATTGTAAACAAGATATAAAGTACAACAGAAGAAATATTGTGCAAATTTTAAGAGTCACGAGGAATTTTTTAATTAAGCAGAAACTGTTTTCCAAGGGTCCAAGTTTTGATGTCAGAAACTCTAAACCTGATACACAGAAAAACATTAAATGGGAAGATATAGTGACATTTTTCACTATATATTTTAAACAATTTACTTTTGTTTTACCACTGTGTATATCATCCACTATACAACAGAATATAACAGAAATAGTTAACAAAAGTGAATGTTCTAATTATTCGACGCACCTAGCTCCACATCCCCCCAAACTCCTATAAATTAATGAGAAAATTTTTGTCCATTTGTGAGTAATGGTCACAAACTTTCTACTAAAGCACACATTACATCCTCATAACTTAAGGATACTTTACTGATGACATAAGCCATCTTTTTCAAGGAGTTATCCAACATTCTTGATAATCCTTCTTTATAATGTATCTTCATCTTCAGATTTTTTTTTTCTAAACAAAGTGCAATGTATCTTAGAGTCTACGGAAAACACATTGGTATACAATTTTCAAATCTACACAGGAAACTGCAGGCAAACTAAAGTTCAAAGCATAACAAAATGCCTAGATATAGTAATTTGTTATAAATTTTCCAAAAGAAAAAAAAGTAGCTACATTTCAAAGCAATTAAATTAATGAGGATTCCAATTCTTTGGGCCCTCTTTAGCAATATACAGCCGCTCAATTCCAAGTATCAGTAATAGTGTAAAAATGCTAGCTCTAGATATATTTAACAACTACATCCACAAACTGACTGGAAAGACTAGGAATAGTAAACAAGGGAACTCGAGAAAAGATGACAGTATCTGTAATAATACAAACCAATCTGATGTTTCCATCTTTGTACCGTAATGTTCATTTCCAGTCTCTACAATCTTGAAACCAGTGCTTCATAAGAATCACATTGAAAAGTTGGTCTCAAGTATTAACAAAAGTGAATAACAAATTGCACACACAAATTCAAAATCTGTGCTACCTGTGTTGACCTCATCTGAAACCTTCAAAAAAAATATTCAAAAGAATAAAAGCTCTCTCATCTCTCTTATGTGATAAGAAATGAAACCTGCCATTCTGTGACCTGCCTGTGGCCTCAGCACTTCTCGTCATCTAACTCAGGCTGGGCCCTCCGCCCCAGCGTGCGGAGTTGCTGCTTTCAGCCCACACTGGAGGGCCACAGACTTGCAGTGGAAGCATTGTTTATATTGCCACCGGCTTCTGGCTATGACCAAAGTGAGTTCTGATTCTTCACCTTCTGATCCGTCACTGCGTGGCAGCAGGGGGTGGAGGTAGCGCAATGTCATTTAACTTGCTCACTTCCATTTGCCAGTTTGGCAGCTTCTTGGCTGACAGATGGCGCCGGGCATGCTTGGTCAAATGGTCACTCCTCATGAACCGCCGATCACACATGGGACAGGCAAATTTCTTCTCACCTGTGTGGGTTCGCCTGTGTCTGGACAGTTCATCAGAACGTGCAAACCTCCTTTCACAACCTTTCCAGCTGCAGCTAAAAGGCTTTTCTCCTGAAACAAAGAAATTCAGATCATCGTATTATGTATTTATGAAGTCACTGTAAATTATGTGTTTAGTTACATCTAAAGGTATAGGAAAAAAATGCATTTTAAAGTAATAAAAGCTAATAAAAATTAATAAACTATCAAATGAGTGTTAGGTAGGTATACATTGCTTAATTTCCTCAACTTTCACATAAGAAAGAATGCGTAAGAAAGGACACAGGGAAGAACTAACTACAGGGAGGAAGCACAAAGAGAGGTGTTATACTGGGGGAAGTTTTCTGACTTCAACTATGGTTCAAAGGTTTCACAGATAATATTACGGTAACTAGTCAGACATCCAGAGAATACCATTTGAGAGATCAGAGGACTTTAAATAACCATTGAATTTGCTCAGAAGCAAAGTTCTTCCCTAACATGCCTGCTTTACATTTGTGATCCTAAGCCAAAAAAATGCTATCTAAGTTTCTAAGACACATAAATTAGGAAATTGTGGGTACCTGTATGTGTTCTCATGTGGGCCTTCAGATGAGAGCTTTTAAAGTACGTCTTGCCGCACCCCGGGTGGCTACAGATATGACTTCTTATCCTCAGCGAGTCAATCTGAGGAGTGACTTTTGCCGTGGAAGGGGAAAAGCCTGGAGCAGGGGCAATGGGAGAAAGTCTGGTGCCATTTGGGCTCACCACCGGAGGTTTCGGGTTCTGGATGACGGGCTGGGGAACAACAAACATGACAGCACCTTTGGGCACCTGAGTCCCCATGAACACAACAGGTGGACAGACGGCTGGTGGCTGACTGGGTGGAGTGCTGGGGACGACTGTTGTCACAACAGGGTTATTTGCAGGGAGGGGAACCATCTGGCAGATGAGTGGCATAGGCGGCACTCCTCCTGTTGACACTGCAGGTGGAGAGACCAACACTGACTTCTGCTGAGGGGACACAGGAGCTGGTGGAGATGTACAGATGACAGTCTCTGAGGAAGGCACAGCAAAGTCATAAAGTGCAGCACGCGCTTTCTCATCCACATCTGCCACTGTGTTTCTCTCACATTTGGATCTGTTTGGTGACACAGCTGCACACGGTACATTTTTTCTTGCAGCCTCAACATTTAGGTGGGCTCTTCTTCGAAAGGAACTGTCCTGATAGTTGAAGATGCTGGCTGCTTTCACCGGGCAGGACCGGTGGTTACACAGCTGGGCATCAGCCGTATGGCGAATCACACTTGTTGCCTGAGCCTTAGGGGGTTTGGGGGCTGGTACTGGACTCTTTTCTTCCTCTTTGAAAGGTGCAGCACTGTGTGGCTTGGAAGTATCTGAGAATGATTTCAAGTGTCCACTAGATGGCACTGGTACCATCAGATTTGACACTTGAGAGGGTTCAAAGTCTGAAGGACTGTAAGGTGGAGTCAAACACTAAAGAGAATAAAAATACACAGGCATCAGCATGAAAAAATTCAAACTACTGTAAGAAATTCTAGAATTTACATTCAATTTTAAAACAGTAATACTTACAAATGCTGGGATTGTATGAAAATCAGGTGTCCCAGGAAGCAGATTCTCTTCCTCTGACGTATCAGACACTGGAGTCACAGGTCTGTTTTCAATGTATTTCTTAAAATCAGACTTCCAGCTGCAGCTCATCGACATAAGTGCTTCCACAGCTTCAAAATCACTCTTCTCTGCAGCTTTGTTCCAGGAACACACATTCTCTTTTGACCTTTCAGAAATCACATCCATTCTTTCCTCCTGTAACAACAATAAAGCTAATAAGCATATTTTTTTTCATCCAAATGGTACATCAAACCAAAAATCCAAACCCAATGCCATCAAGTTGATTCCGATTCATAGTGACACGTTAGGACAGAGAAGAACTGCCCCAAAAGTTTCCAAGGCTGTAAATCTTTACAGAAGCTGACTGCCTCATCTTTTTCCCAAGGAGCAGCTGATGGGTTTCAACAGTCAGGTTGGCAGCCCAAAGCTTTATTAAGCCACCAGTTGTTGTTCTTGTTATGTGCCGTCGAGTCGGCCCCGACTCATAGCGACCCCTCCTTGGGTTTTCGAGGCAGTATCACTACGGAAGTAGGACTGCCCAACCTTCCAGGGCACCCTAAATAACCCACAGAGGAATGAGTATCTTTTTCTTTTACAATATGCATCCCTTTCCATGTCAGTATTTGAAACAGCAACTTTTTTCTCTTACACCCTACATTGATAATTTAAAAGCAATGAAAGTTGAGCTACACTTGTCAGATGACCTAGACTTCATGGCAGTGATAATGAAATTGTTCCCATTTTTAGGCTTGAACACAGTTATCTTTGCAAGGCATAGAGACTACCACCTTATTACTAGTAAGAACAAGGACCAAATTTAAATTTAAGAAGGACCATGGAACTTGCATTTGTGATCCAAAAGACAAAAAGCTTTTGGTTTGGAAGGAAAAAGCTGTTTATATATATTCTTTCTAGAGTAGCTAGCTACCTGTACCTGGGGTAAGAAAAAAAAATAACTGGGGAAAGGCTCTCCAAAAATTTATTATTTTTTTTTTTTCAATGCTACAAGCATGGTATTAGGTCTTCTAGGTTTGAATTCTTAACAGAAAAAAAATACAAGTCCAATACTTTGATTTTGTCAAAGTATAGAAAACAGAACCCTGACCTGTTGACATAGGTCTGACCTTTGGAGAGTCACTTTGCACTTTTGGGTAAAAATCAACAGGCTAAATGATCTTCAAGTTACCTTTCAAATTGAAATCTAAAACTATTTGACAGATAACTCGATTATCTATGCTAAGCAGAGATCAAATGAATGTTTTGGAAAAATCTCAAAGCTTTATTTACTCAAGTTCCAAGTTCTTCATGTTTGTTCCCTTTCACTAGATGTATTTAACAATAGTCTGTTATGTGTAACTATGACTAACTGATGGAATAATGAGAAAATAGATCAGAAAATTTAATATTCTACCTGCAATTTTCAAAAACCCTGACTGTAAAACATCTGCAGTACTTTAAACAGAATCTACATTAATTTTTTAAAGAACTGATTACAAAAATAACAACATATGCTTTGTAATCGTTCGTACAGTTCCTCTATCAAGTATTTTGTGTCTTTTATTAGTGATTAAAATTGCGTATTTTTTTAAAAAATGGCACTACCACTCCTCCCATTTTCCCTTTTTAAAAAAACCTTTCAGATTATTTGTCAACGCACAAATTGTATAAATAACGAAAAAATATT